CAATATACGAGTTAAATATATCAGCTCAAAGGTAAGACTGTAAACTCTTTTCTTGTCGATTATTTCACGTGATAAAGTTGAACTGCTTATTCGTTAACAATGTACAAGCTACAAGAATTGAGATGAATATCGAAGTCGAAATAGGATAATTAGTGAAATATTTTGAACGAAGATTAAACAAATATATAAGATAACAAGTAAATGTTGCAGTTATTAGTGTATAATACAAAACCTGAAAATATGTAAAAATTAGCCAAAAAAAATATACCAACCAATATAGAGTTAAATAATTAAACCATATATTGGTTTGAAGTATGAACTTATTATATTTGTTTTTTGAAGTATCCTCGTGATGCACCTAACTCTTTTTTTTTTGTATTTACTGCAGTACTATTTCACGAGATAAACGCCAAACTGCTTTTATTAAAAAAACTGCATATAGGCAATGAAAAGAAAAATTAATGAATATAAAGACAAAACAAAAATTTGAATAAAGCACTGAGAATTTCTGATGGTAGTAGATAGTTAATCTTAACCAGTTGACAATCGGTTGAATGAAATAATTTGGTTCGGTTAACCGATTAAGGAAATTTTTCTCAGTTCAAATCACTACTTGTACATTGTTAACAAATAAACAGTTTAACTTTTTAATATGAAATAATTAACAAGAAAAAAGTTTATAGTTTTACCTTTAAGCTAATATATTTAACTCGTATATTGCTTTTTTTTACATTATAGCAATATTAAACGTGTTTTGTTAATTTCACTTGGCTGATTTTTTTATACTTGCGTCAGAATTAATAGCTATCTTATTGTCTCACCTTGTTTTATTTGAACTTGATTTAACAGCTTCTATATATAATATTTTACAAAAATGGATGAGTTTAATATCAATAACAACAGTTTTAATGATTATATCAATGAAGAAACCTTTCAAGATATTCAAGAAAATATTATTTCTTATGTTGAAACTTATGGAGAAACTTATGGAGAAGAAGTCTTTTATGTTGTTTAAAACAATATTAATTTTCAAGATGAAGGTTATGATGAAGCTTATAATAATTTTCAAGAAGATATTTCATCTAATATTAGAAATCATAATGAGGATGATTATGAAAGTATTTAGAAAGATAGTTCGTCTTATATTAAAAGTCATGAAGAGGTTTGGGAGTCATATGCTAAAATAACAAAAATAAAATTACTCGAAATACTCTCAATATCTGATGCTGCCTTTGAACAAGCATCTTGATTATATAATAACATTTAAGCACTAGAACCATATGTATTTGATTTTATTAGCATATAAACAACAGACTAGGTTTGTGTAGCAAATTCAAAACAAAAAATTAGATAAAAATGGCAATATATATAAATATGTTTTTAAATGCTGACATGCTAAAAATTTTCAATCAAAAAAACAGCTATCAATCCTTTACAATAGTATAACAGAGAATCAATTAAAATAGGCTGCACTTGTTTTATTAATATGTGTTAGCCACTTAAGACACCAAGTCCAACTATAATTAAAATGAATCTTAAATATTATAGTTATATATCTAGTCCTGACACTATTTATTTTGTTAATGTTTACAGACAGCTTCCTCAGAATGTTATAGACAAGATCAAATTCTATATAAATACAATTCATGATATTAATCAGCATACATTAAGGCAGCTTCGTAGTGGTGAATTCAAAGAACAATTATTTTTGGACAAAGATTTGGCAAATGCCATTCAACAATTTTAAAAATATAATACAACAGACCCTAAGCAAGACCCTAAAAATAATGCTTCGAACCTTCTAAAAAAACTACAAAAAATGAAAAAAAAACAATCCTATATGGTTTATATTATATTATTATATTAAAAATCATCTTTTTCAATTATTTTGGATGACCTCCTATCAACAAAACCTATATTTAAAGTATCATGATGTTATTCTGATAGATAATACTACACAAACTAATAAATACCAGATGGCATTATGTTTATTTGTTGGTGTTGATCAGCATTGTCATTCAAGATTAATAGGTTAAATACTAATATCTGATGAAACAACCTCGTCTTACATATAGGTTTTTAAAATCTTTTTGTAGCTACAAATAATTTAACACCTACAATAATATATTTTGATTGTGATACTAGACTAAGATCAGCAATTAAAACTACATTTCCAACTACTTGACATTTACACTGCATTTTTTTTTTTTTTTTTTTTTAAATGTTAAGGTGAGCATTTTGGGGTCTGGCACGTTTTATTAAACTTTGGATCGAATGCTAGGGCAGCCACAGGGCTACCTCTGACTTTGTTATATTAACGAGAATACATACTAGCCATATGTACAACTTTTGGTTGTCTATTTAAGCAGTCTTGCAT